CGAGAGCCGAGAGGGTTAAAGTGAGCGAGGTAAACTAAACGGTGACGCGCATGACTGGTCGGCTCTGAGTGAGTAGAGCGTCGCCGCGCACACTTGGTCAATTTTTTACTATCCTCGAATTTGTTTTTGGGATCAATAGATAGAAGGGAGCGCGTCGCGGTTTATTGTGTGTAGATTCCTCCGGACCTACTTCCGGACAGACGGGGGATGGAGAGGGAGAGCGAGCAATTCGGCGCGACGGCGCGGGCGGGCGGCTTTCGGAGAAAACAAATTCCAAGGCGATGGACGGAACGATCGTGTGAAAAATTGACAAACTGCGCGCGACTGTTCGTCTCGCTCTCCACCATTTTTCAACCTCGACTCCGACAAGTAGCGTTTTATTTTTGACAGTTTCGTTATTCGATATTGATCAAGCGGTGCGGAGCGATAGTGCGGTCGCGGCAGCAGGCACGATGAGATTAATTATTTAGAGACAATCGGTTTGGCGACGATTTATATTTCCCATGGGTCAAAGGGCGTGCAATATGCATAACCTCGCAGGTATAAATGTAGCCCACCAAAAACCGATAGCAGCAATATTTCTCTATGCAACTGCTGGTGTAGCAGTAGCTATAGGTTTAGTAAAAATTTATGGACTTCGCGCCGCGGCCCAGATTTATCAAACTTAATAAGATGCATTGTCTTTTCCAGGAAACGTTTTCAAATCCGCAGTTATGCCGGTTATGCCGGTCTCCCCGTTTTGTTTCACGTATAAAATGCACGTATAAAAATCTCGACATTTCATAGAGTCGGATTTCGTCGATAAAAAGTATATTTTGACTTTTTTTTTAAACGATATCGCAACAATGGAATCATGTTTCATCAAAACCCCAGTGCTCGAAATTTACATCGAATATTGCACGTAGAGAGAGAAAGGGAAAATAAGAGAAAGAGAGAGAGAGAGAGAGAGAGAGAGAGGAAGAGAGAAACGTTTTAGCGGGCAAGGGGTTGTACGGGCGGGCCCGCGTAACTAAACTCTCGCGTTCGATATCTCGATGGCGTAATAAACACTGCCAGGCTAAATTGAGAAAATTATATTCCTCTTTCCGCCGGGGGTGAGCGCGCTTTCGCATTATCGAAGCTGAAAAGGCGGCTAAGTGTTTGTGTACCCTGAAGATCCCGGGAGCGCTGACAGTGGCACACGGCACCTCCACCGGGGTATTCCCTCGGTTAAAGTGGCTGTGCGCGCGCTGAAGAGGATACCCCGGGATAGTGCCGGAACGCGAGAGAGAGAGATGGAGGGTTGAACTAACAAACCTCCCATTCCCCTCGGTAAAAACTTTGAATGCCGCACGAGGTTTCCGGCGTCCCGGAAAAAAGAAAAATTACTCGGTCGCAACAAGACGTAATCGTCCACGTCGGCGTCGTCGTCGTCGTTCTCGTCGTTGTCGTGTGCGGCGTGAGTTAAAAATAGACACTGACACTCTGGAGAATAGTCACCTCTCTGAAAAGTCTGAATAGCGGGACGCAGTGAGGTGTAAACGTAGGGACGTATAGGGACGTAGGGACGGAAGAAACTCGCGGAGAATTGTTTTCTCCGACGCGAGTCTTAAGCAGGGTCCACATTATCGAGCCAAACCGCGAACCGAGTCCCGAACCGAGCCTCGAGCAGAACTTGCAGACGAACCTCAAATCGAACTCCATCGCGAACCGCGAACATGAGTTAAAATTTTTCTGAAGTCAAATCTCGTATTGAAATTTATAATAAAATTTATATAAATTCTTAATACATGTATGCAAAATGCATATTTATATTTACAATCGTATTTTTTAACATTGCAATATATATATTATAAATTTATTGCGTATTTATCACAGGTTTAGAGTATGTTTATGCAATATTAATTCTAAATTTTGTTTTATGGTTTGAAAAGGAATTAAGTTTTGAATACAGGAAAATAATAAAAGCACATATACATATATTCACTCACCTTTTCCTGTTTCCATACTTTTTTTATTTTTGCTTTTTCTCTTTGCAGAGATGCCAATAATGTCGTCATCTTTTTTTTGCACATGTCACTATCACATTCGAGTTCTTTACTTATTTCTTCTTATAAAAAAAGTATGAGAACAGGAAAAGACGACTAAATATGTGTATACATATGCGTGCTTTTATTATTTTCTTGTATTCAAAGCTTAATTCCTTTTTAAACCATGAAACTATATTTAGAGTGGTACCAACTATATTTAATATTGCATAAACATACTCTAAATCTATGATAAATACGCAATAAATTTATAATTTATATTGCAACGTTAAAAATACGATTGTAAATATAAATATGCATGACATTTTTTTAATTGTTATAATGTTCGGGATTTTTAGCGTCCCGTATATAATAATCTTTTCTGCTTATAATCACTATTTAATTTTAAACATTTTTTATCAGACCATTCCATTTTGTCTATCAGTAGTCGTGTAGACTGCACATACGTGGATAGAATCAAATACAGCGACTGGGCAATTACTCACGTTTTCTTTCATAGTTCATTTTTTGTTTTTTGTCATTATTTGTCTAGATCGAAGCTTAACTACCAGTCTACCACCCGACAAAGCGTATAATCTGATCATAAAAAGCATCTTTTGATGTTTCGTCGAAATACCGACTTTTGGTGGGACACTGCGAGCCAAACCGCGTATCATCAAAATCCTTGCAGATTCGTGGACTGAGTACGCGATGGTTCGCACTGATGTTCGATTCGAGGTTCGCGAGCCTCGTGCGAGCCCGTCGGCTCGACAATGTGGACGCATGATCGGCTCGCAACGAAGTTCGGCTCGCGGTTCGGCTCGATAATGTGGACGCATGATCGGTTCGCGGCGAAGTTCGGCTCGCGGTTTTGCTCGATAATGTGGACCCTCCTTTAGTAAGAGTAAGCGGGCGCCGTCGCGTTGTTTACCGTTCCAAACGCGGGGGATCCCTCGTGCGCCTTTTGTCACCGACCGAGGGAGCCTAAGGGGCCTTCGAGAGGAGAATGTTCCGCGACCGGAAATTGAACACGACCGTTTACGACTGTGTAATAACTGGCTTCGTACCGGACCACTTAAACAGCAATTGTAGGTCATCTCGATGAGGCACTTGGCACGACACAATACCCTCTCTCTCTCTCTCTTTCTCTCCTTTCTCTTCATGAGTCGAAGCTACCGGTTGAGATTGTTGACAATGAGATAGGAAAGTGGCTCTCGAACGAAACCATTGAGAACTAAACGTCGACGAATAACGATTTGTCCGTGAAACGGAATCGCCCGATGGCCACTGCGATACGAACGTGATTAAAAATGTATCGACGTTACATTTAACCTTTAGAGACCCAGGAGACGCTGTGTAATGTTCCGCTCTCACGCCACCTTTTATTTCCTCATTCGAAATTTTCGCGATCAACAGATTTAGTCCGACTCGGGCATAACGGACGTAATTAATTTGCGCAAAAACTCTTACAGCCATACGGTTTGAGTAATTACGTTATCACCTTAATAAGACTCATCTGGAAAGGTTCGAGGCAAAAAGCGGGTAGGATATTGAATTATTTTAAAGCCGCTTCTACCTCGTTAATGCTGCGAGGTCAGCGACGTTTGAATGGTCAGACGGAGTAATTTATCTCCAGCTTCTGTATTTATATCGCGCATTCGGAATAAGATCTCGGAATCCTGATTAGATCCTTGACCCAAAGTTTGAATTTCATCGCGCATCATTGCACTATTGCAGAAACCGCGATGAACACCTCGAACAGCTTTAATAAGATCGCGTTCTACATCGGACTAGAACATTGACGTATATGTACGGTTCTAAAAGGTAGCAAGTCAACTGGGAATGCATCGATCGTCATTTCAAGTACTGTACGAGGTCGTTCTACGAGCCGTTCTTGACGCATCGGCCAATCGCGACGACGATCGAAGCGCGTTTCAAATTTTATAGCTCTAATTTCGCGGAAGGTCTGATTGGCTTGAAATGCTTTTCATGTTCGATCTTTCGGTAGAGAGGTTTCTCGACTTTGATTCTAAGTGTCCCGAGAGAAAAAGAAAGAGAAAGAGAGACAGAGAAGGAAAAAGAGAGGGAGAGACTTGCTATTAGAATAATTTATTTATTTATTCTTCTTATCATTATTAATTTTTTATATTCTTTATATCTTTAAATTAATAGTTTTATAATTATTAGAACAACAATAAAAACTAATCAATTTTAAGAATAAAATAAACTAAGTTAATACAGTAACTTATATTGCGTGGTACGCGAGTGGTCGGTTATTGCTGTAGCTCTCTCGTAGTTTCACCAGAATTGAAGTTATTGTCCGGCGTAACTTGAAAATCTTACCAGGTCGAAATGATCGTCTCGCTAAAGTCGCCACGCGACCCACCCAACTTATCAGGTTCCGCATAGTTTCACAGAAAGTTCGTAACCCATATATTTTTACGATTCTTCGTAACGCATACACTTTTGCGGAAGTTCCGCTCGAATTTAAGGAACGCACGAAACCGTGCGGATGTTTATCAAGTTAGAAGTTTATCTCGGTATAATAAAAATCGACGGATAAAAAAAAAGAAGAAGAGAAGGTCTCGAGGGAAACTGTGGGTGTCCTCCTTCCCGAAAGTCGAACGGTTATGTAAAGTAAGGAGGTATCCTCTGTAAATTTAATGCCGGATCGTGTCCGCAGAGAGAGACTGAGAGAGAGATGTCGACTTTCCACACCCTTTCCTTTTATATATCTCTCTCCCTCGTCACCTTTCGTCGTTCCGCTCTTTTTTCTTTCGGCGTTGCGTCAATCCTCATAAAAAAGTTCTCAGCACGGTCGTGTCATCCGCGTCATATTTTTCAATTATTAACATCGGCGAGATCACTCGCTCTCATTTCCGAGCATAATTCACCCCGTGGGCATCGCGTTGGCAGAGATCTATTTCACACATTCCCGAAATTCTGCGACTGGCTTTTCCTCCTTCCCCTCTTGTCTCTCTCTCTCTCTCTCTCTCTCTCTCTCTCCCTACATACACGCACGCAAACACACACAGTTACATCACCTCAAATTCATGTTCATTATAGATAGATTCCTAAGCCATTAACATCCCTATAATCTTACCCGTTCCGAACAACGCCATCAATCCTCTTCGCCCTAAGCCGTCCCTTTCCATCTCAATTTTCCTGATCATCCCTCGCCATCCGGTAATCTTGTAAAATGATAATACGACACTATCACTGGATTCGGTGAAATAATAACGTGTCAGCTGTTACATTAATTAACTGATGTACGGTCGGAAAGTCACGTTATTGGTATTATAGTCACAAAATATGTATTTTTTATTTTGTGTACACAGTATTTTTCCCGAACGACAATTTCTTTTTATTGGACTGAGGGAAAGAAGGGAGAGAGAAAGAGAGAGAGAGAGAAGGATGGTTTTTGCCTCTGGCTCGGACGTAAATAGATTTATTCGATTCCGTCTGTGATCGAGAATGTTTTCTCGCGCGTTTTCCAGGGAACGGACACTACGGAAGAAGAAGTGAAAAAGTTCACGTGGCGTGCCATCGGCAAACATCCGAGACGACGTCGGGGAAGTGTGCGACGCCGGCGACCTGCGACTGCGATTGCGATTGCTAAATTCCCACTTGCCCCGAGGATATGTTATTTCTGAAGGCACAGGTTCGCATCGCGCGGATCAAATGTGCCCGCAATGGCGGCGGAAAGTGGGCCAGGTCGGCTGTCGGAGCCGAGCCGGTAAGTTAACGGCGACAATGTAAAGCAGTTTCATCCCTTTGCCCGGTTCGATAGCGCCTCGCGGCTGCGGGATTAAACTTTAGATAGAATCGCGAACTTTATTTATCTACTTTGATAACGCGCGAGAGACGAAGCGATGCTATATATAGTGAAAATGACACCAAACGAGATAAAGCTTTAATTTCGCGCGGATATGATGTACGATATAGCGCAAACGGCGACACGTACCGTAATAGGTACCTAAAGCACGAACTTACTTCATAAAGAGATTTAATTTTTTTTTACAAGATAATTTAGGAGAATACTTTTTTGGAGAGATATGCATGATCATTTGTTCGCGTGAGCGCGTCACAAACGTACGGGAAACGCGTGGCGAAAATTAAGGTCAGTGGTTTTAAGATACCCCGCGCGTGCTAGGTGCTATAGGGGGACAAGATCTCTCGTGCTCGATTCCTTCATTAATCCTCATTATTCTTCGTTAACCTTGCTCTTGTTCCTCATTAATCTCCGTTAATCCCCGGCGGAGCTATCGCTGACTCCACTCGTCGGGAACAGGCGAGGCAATGAAACTGATAATATTCTTGATTCACTTCGCGCGACCCTTTCGCGCCACATTCTAGCACTCTAATCTAGCAAAACAAATAACTAGTTGACTCGAGCTTGTTTGCAGATGCAACCAGGAGACGTCAGTTGCGGCGGCGATGAGACACGAACGACGAGACAACGACGTTAAGGTGCGATCGCCTGGAATGAAGCATTGAGATAAAGACCCACGCGCATTACCGATGAGCGCCTGAAGTTTATGACGAGATCTCGCCGGTTGCAGACCGCGAGCTCGGAACTCGAATTTGCGATAAAGGTAAATGGTGTACCGTGCTCTCCGCGAAATATCGGCACCTCTCGTTGCAGCTGTCGTCCTCGTATCGAATCAGATGTCGAGCACACAAAGCCCCGCGGGTTTCCGCGACAAACCGCGATCTGTCCGTTTAATCGGACTCCGTTGAACCCGCGGGAAACGCGAGCGTCGATCATCTGAGAAACGTACACGGTACACGGTACACGGACACTTTGCGAGATCTCCAATCGAGCGCCGATTCCGCGTCGTACGTTTCAATGCGTAATTATCACGGATTATTCTCGTGAGTGGAGTCGCGCTCCGATCCCGGTGTCGATCGACGCGGAATGCGACGCGCGTTGCCTCGAGAACGGAAACGGAGCCGTCGTTGTAACAAATAATCGATCGCGGATTCTCGCCGTAGAATCGCGCCGGTCAGTGCGTCGAGTGCCTACTTTCCAGAGTCGTCTCTTCCGTCATGCGAACGGAAGTCGGTGGACGTGCGGCGACGAGCGTCGCGCGGGGCTTCTCGTCGGGCCTGTACCCGGTGACCCGGGTGAGCACGAGATGAAAGCGCGCGTCGCGTTCACATCGCGAGATGTCGTCGGGACTGACTGGATGAAGGACGGGAGAGGACGGGACGGGATGAGGACGGTCGGGCAAGTGTCCGCGGCGATCGGCCGCGGCGGCGGGTCGAGACGTCGTACGCTGATGCTGCTGGTCGCGATCGCGTGCTGCTGCTGGCTGCTGCTGATCGGCGAGTGCGCCGGGCAGAAGCCGATCAACCTCGGCGGCAGCAAGAAGCGCGACGTCTACATCGCCGGCTTCTTCCCGTACGGCAATCACGTGCCGGAGGGTCACATCGGCCGCGGCGTCATGCCCGCGGTGAAGCTCGCGGTGGAGCACATCAACGAGCACCCGACCATACTCAGGGACTATCGACTGCATATGTGGTGGAACGACACGGAGGTGAGTTCCTCTGTAAGATACGACAAAATCCCTGAACGCTAGTTAGCGAATCCCTAAATGCGAATTTCTCTTCCTTCACTTTTTTCAGTAAGGTTACACCTATTCCTCTCTAATGTTACGCTCTTTCCACTTTTGTCTCTCTTTCTTCTTTCTTTTTCCAATTATCCTCATCCTTATACATTGTTGAAGGCAGTTTCTTTTTCATTATTATTTGATTACGGGCCCGCCCAAGTCTTTTGCCGAGTCGTCGTTATCGCACAAGGGTCGTTAAAGATTAATAAATTATTACCTCGCTTATAACTTTTTCCATCACTGCTCAAATATATTTCTCGATCCAGAATTCCTAATCGTTAAATAAAGAATGATGTTATTTCATTACTGTGATCTGATATGTGGTAATGTGAGGATAAGAGATACACTGGCCATTAGAGACTCCAGATGTTTGGCTGCGCAACTGAAATAACGTGTCCAATCGAAAATTGATAAATTATTAGCAGATTTGGATATATTTATATCTTCTTTCGTTATTCTCCAGATACATTTCTCAATCTTCATTAAATTGAAAACGATGATTGATCAGAATTTCTCAAGACTTTTCATTAAAATGTCAAGACTTTTATCCCTCATTTTTTCTACTTTCTATTAAAATGCAAGGGATCAAATTTGATACGTAAGGGAAAAAGTAGTATTATGAAATCCTATTTCATTTTAATAGCTTGGAAGCGTCCAATTTCGGTAAATGTATTTAATGAAACATCAATTTGTAAACGATTGAATACCTTATTCAATACGAATAACGTAGCGAAGTAGAGAGATAAATGCGAGTTCTTAA